TTTTCAATTTTTGGGACGAAATTTCTATTAGCTCAGTGTTGTTAATATAGTATGCTCTAAGACTTCTTTTTGGTGCCAGACCATTGGAGCTGGAGAAAATGCAAACCGCTTCCACTACGTGGTTGTCTTTCAGTATGGCTCAGCTGTACTGTTCAATGTTGATGACGATGAAGCTGAATGCTACTTGCAAAGAGTGAGAAGATATGCAAGTGGATTGCTTCATGAGATGAAAAAAGATGGTTAGAGCATTATATTATACTATTATCATTTAGTTGATGTCATGCCATCACACACTCCTCATCTTTATTGTGCTATCTATGAGTTATCAATATAACTTGTAAGCATAATTTTTAAAAAAGGTTTGCTGTCCCAAGTAGATAAAATTTAAAAACCAAAAGGTGATAGTTGCGTATGGTAGTCATTGCCCTTTTAAGGCTTTTACACTATTCTTAAGTTTGGATTAATTTTAATACCATAATTTTTTAGATATTCTAATAAGTTGGATTTCTGGGTGTATTATATATTAGCTACTCCATGCAAACTATCATTTACTCATACAAGTTGGAATATTAATATCACTTATAATTTGGACATTGACAGATTATGCAGTCAAAGAGAAGCCATCATTGGTTGAGGATATGGAGGGTCGCCCAGACTACATTGTGCTGAAAATTGTGGATACGGATAGTATCCGTGTAATTAGCAGTGTGCTTGGGCAAAGTATTGCACTTGATTACTTTGTTTCACAGGTAATTTACATGGCATTATGTTAGAAGCGAACTTAAAAGAAGAAGATATTGATCCTTCTTGACCTGTGCCTGGAAGGAGGGGAGAGCAGTCTGAGACTAGCTTCTCATAATTAGAGTTTTTGCTCGAACCAAAGATAATTTACTAAATGATTGTGCCATTTGTGCGAGTATAGATAGGCAAAACCTTTACAAGAGACCTACCAAAATCATACTAGGAAACATGAATCCTTATACATGATATTAAGCGTCCGTTTGGATTTTGGAATGGGAGAAAATAACTTCTAGAAAGTGGAAAATGGGTTATTTTTCAGAAATTATTTTAATTTTCTGGTGTTTGGCTCCCTTGAAGAAAATCCAATGGATGGGCTGTGCTTTGTGTCTCTGGAAAACACTTTGTTTGCGGCTCTGTGCTTTGCATCTGCATCCAAGCTGTGTATACAAATTCAGATCGGAAAAATCCAATCAAAATCCAGATAAGAAAAAGTCCAAAAAAACCATTTTTCTGTGTTGGTGCTGTGTCTAAGTCAGGGTCTTCTTCTTCGTCTGCGCTTCATCTTCGGAAAGAGCATAGAAAAAGCTTCGATGAGAGAAAGAAAGGGAGGAGTGGAGCGGTAATGGTCGATGGAATAGCGCCATGGAAGAGAAACGATGGAGGAAGCAACTCAGTAGAAGTTGACCAGTGCATTGACTTCCATTTCCTAGTTTACCAAACATTGGAAAATGGGAGAAGTCATTTCCCCCCTTTCCAAACGGACCCTAAGTAAAGTAGAATAACTGAATAAGACTAATTTATGAGACATATAGTAAATCCCTTTAGGAAGATTAACTAAATTTGAATATGACTAATAATAATAATAATAACAACAACATCAACAACAACAACAACAACAACAACAATAACAATAACAACCACAACAACAACAATGATATTAACAATGATGGCTGTATCATATCACCAGTTTACCACTTTTTGTGGGTTTTTCTGTGTTGTTGTTGTTGTTGTTGTGACTGTATCATACGGAGTATTATATTATCACCTGCTTATTTATCAATGGTTATCACACGCTTATTTAGTCACTTGCATTATTGGATTCAATTTGGTCATCAACTTTTTAATGCACCCATGTTGGTCTACAACAATGAAATTTGGACCCAATTTAGTGTGTATGTGAAATATGCACGAGGACTTAATTCAGTTTAAAATGTGTATTTAAGCACCAAATTTAGTCAGAAAGAAAATAAAGGACCAAATCGACTAATAATATTAGTCAAGGACGAATTTGAGACGAAAGGAAATTGGGAACCATAGTAAACTCTATTCCTTCCTTTTTTGATGTCTCGAAATGAACTTAATATTTCTTTATTTGGATATTGGTTTCTTGTAAAATGACAATACATTCCCTACTTTACCAACTTCGATAACTTCATATTGGCATAAAAGGGAAGTAAAAATTGTCTAATAATTTGTATCTATGCTTGCAGATTGATGGAATGGTTGAGGATTTTGCTAATATCAACCGTGAAATGGACAGAACTGGAAATTTTACAATGGACAGGAAGAAGCTCTTTCAGCTCGTTGGCAAGGCTAATTCAAACCTAGCCGATGTCATATTGAAAGTTGGTCTTTTTGAGAGGTCAGTATTTTATTGCTGTACTTTTCTATAATTTCAGGAAAATTTATCACCTTACAATATTACTCCCTCAGTCTCACAAAAAACTTTGTTTTTTCCCTTTTCATCCGCCCCCTTATCTATTTCCTTTTAAAGGCATAAATGAGTGGCTCACAATTGTTCTCTCCTCTAAAACAAATTGTAACCATAAAGTTTTCACTTTTCGAACTCTTTTCTTAAACTACGTGAAGTCAAACAAAGAATTTTTTTACGGGACAGAAGGAGTAATAGTTCATTCACACTCTTTATTCACCGACTCTCATTTTCCCTCTTTTTATGGATTTCTTGTCACTTTTGGTCCTTCTAGTCACTCATGTGGAATATTTCTTTACAAACATGCGTGATTCCCTATGATTTCTTATACCGAGTAATAGATACAAATGAATGTTTGTGCATAGCTTCTTGAGTTTTCAAGTACCATTTCAATTTTTTAGTGTATAAGATCTCATTATCGGTCAGATCTGAAATTGCTTGGAGAGATGCAAAGTACGCTCAGATACTGGAGTACCTGTCAGAGGAATACGAGGTTACACAACGTTTTTGCAACCTTAACATCAAACTCAAATTTATTGAGGTACCTTCTTCTTTGGAGCTGTTGTTATGATGTATGTGTTGTCCTTTATCTCCATAGGACGTAAGGGTTT